CACACGCACACGCACACACACACACACACACACACACACACACACACTCTCACTTCCCTCCCGTTGGCATTTCCCGCCCGATTGTCATCCCCATGTCCGCCAACCAATCAGGAGGTACACACCATAGCACAATGTTCAGTGCCTGGTTTCTTATATAGCTGCTTTCTCTTTGTCCTCTTCCTCCTCCCCTCACTCCCCCGTCTGCTGACCGCCAGTACCCGATCTCTATCGACAGCACTTCTCCCCGCCCCGTCCGTCAATCTCCTGCACTCGCGACCGTCTGCTGATATTCTGTACTCGCAGTTACTCAAACACACACACAACACTCTTCCACTACTCCCAGTTCTTCCACTTCTTCTCTGCAGCGAGCCCGCCGACGATGAGATCTACCTAATACGCACTAGTTCCTATTCGTCGCCGCCGGCATCCTCCTGGGGCTGTCGAAAACCATAGCACGGCAGTACGGCGGAGAAGAGCGCACAGGAGAGAGAAAAGGCTCTGTTCCGTCTCCAATGTTAATCAACCACGTGGCAACCAAAATAAAAGACGACGAAGGGGGGGGGGAACGGAACAGCAGGCGGGAAAAGAATATAGGGAGTTGGATCCGCCTACAGCGTGCAAGTGATGGCGCGCCCTCTACCGACAAACGACTTCTGGCCGCGCGGAGAGGTACGCGCTCGTTATGTCACTGAAAGCGCGCACTGACTTCAGACCACGAGCTACAGCCCACTCATGTGCGGCCCGCCCCCGTGCACAGAAACCAGCGTGCCATCACCGACTCGAGGCTGGCAGAGCGAGCACCGGCGGAATGGCGCCAGGCAACCACGACGAGACGCCTTCGACACTGGCAGGAGATCACGTGGATCACAATAGCCAACTTTTGTTTTTTGTTTTTTTTGAGGTATTATCATCGGACTAATCAGCCCAGGTAAATTCAATATTTGTGTCTAATCTGACATCGGGTGGCCTTTTCAGCCCAGGGTGGCCTTGATTGCCTTCAGGGAACCCCCAACGGGGGACACCGGCCGGGGGACAGCCGGTGGCAGAGGGACCGAGCATCATCTGAGTGGCCAGTCGCTGTGCCTCCCCGATTTTTTTTATTTTTATTTTTTTTTGAAAATCCCATCCATTGTATTGAAAAAGAACTTCGGGGATTGGAGAGAACAAGGCCAAGGGCGAAGAGAGGAGATGCAAACGGAGTTAGGAGGGATGCCGCAGGGCGTCCCCCTGGCGGCGTCAGGAGACCAAAGAGCAAGCCAAGGTGGGCTGCACAAACCAGCAGACCAAACAGCTGGGAGAGGGGACATTCAAGTGGAATTATCGAGGACATCGGCATCGTCTCAGTCGAGAGTGCGATGGGGTAGTGCAGTGAGTGAGTGGTATGATGGGGAGAAGGCGTCAGAAGACTGTGAAGGGGAAAGATCCTCAATGCTCAGTTCTGCAGCAACAAAATCGCCAGGGAAGGAAGAAATAATGGGTGAGGAGCACCCATACCGAAATCAAGACCGGAGAGCTGACACGGCCTGCAGAAGCCAAGTGGAAAAAGTTCAAAGAAGGATCGTGCCCCTACTCTGCACTATGGCCAACGATGGCGTCTACTTCCTCGCCCTAGCTCAAGTGGACGGCATACCGGTGCTCCCATCAGTCGATGTGGACCATTCTCCTACTCCATTGGAGATCGTCGAATTCACAAAGTCCTTATATGGCCAGCACGTCCCGATCAGACTCATCCTGCGTTCCACCATGGCGAGTCTGATAGTAGAGTCCGGTGAACAGTTCTACAAACTGTACTTTCCGCTGCTTGATGCACGCATACCATCGGAACTTGCAAGCTCGCTGACGCAAGGGGGGGTAAGGTGGGTTCACATGTCTAAACTGGAGGACCAGTTCACTGAGGAACTAGAGTTAATAAAAGTACTACCTGATATCTCAGTGCTGGTTCTGAGGAACGTCAACGAGAAACTACAAGCAGAGGAGGGCCTGCTCTCCCCATTTCTTGCGAAGGCTTTGACGGCAGATTGGCAGGTATTTTCGGAGTCCAACTCTTCGAGAGGCAGCACTCGGGATAGGTCAAGAGTATCACGAAGATCGCGAGGCAGCAGAGCGTCAGAGATTGAAAGGAACTCACAACATCACTCGGACCAAGCACAGTCCCTGACCCGCATCCAAGAACAGGCGGGAACAGCAACAGTGGATGGACAAACTTAAACTGGTCTCATGGAACACCAGAGGGTTGGGGGACACAAATGGGAGGGGTAAAAGGAGAAGCTTGAAGTCGTGGATTCATGAATGGAACAGATATTGTATTATGCTTCAAGAGGCGAAGCTGAACGAAGACAAGATCAGAGATCTGGGACCCTGGTGGGACGGACCTCAAATTTGGTCCCCCGCACAGGGTACCAGAGGGGGAGTATGCATCCTATTACACAGAGATTTGCAGGTTCGGGTGATTGACAAGGAGGCGGAGATTTGGGGGCGCTGGGCATGGATGAGGGTGGAAGTGGGATCGGACGAGTGGCTCCTCATGACAGTGTACGCCCCAACGAAGACAAGGGAAAGGGAAGCCTTTTTCAGAAGTCTGATCTCCAACATACCTAGAGTGGAGAAAGTCATTCTGGCAGGGGACTGGAACAGATCGTTGGACGATGCCCTCCGCCCTGACTCAGGGTGTGCAGGACAGGGAGATGTTGTGGCGTTGCTTCAGTTAATAGAGACGGTGTCTCTGACGGATCCTTTCCGGCTACTAAATCCAGACAACCCAGGTTTTACCTGGTTTTCTCACCTCCACCACAATAGGCAGCGTATGACCAGGCGTCGCCTGGACTATGTGCTGGTGACAGATAACTTGATGTCAAGAGTTCTAACATTTAAGCAAACATGCAACCCCCTATCGGACCACAAGCCGGTTACAGCAGAAGTCAGGCTCCAGGAAGGCGGTGAAAGAGGTAAAGGATTCTTCAGGCTGAACAAACAAGTGCTGGAAAATCCGGGCGTTCGGGACTGGGTGGAGGATCACTTGGTGAAGTGGGATTTTGCTAGACCCTTCTTTGGGGACACAGCTGAATGGTTGGATGCTGGACTGGCCATCCTCTCTGGAGTACTGGACGTATGGTCGAGAGTTCTTGCGAAGTGCAGAAACGTAAAAGAGGCGGAATGCAGGAAACGGGTAGAGGAAGCTGAGGAGAGAATGGAGGGTCACCCCATATCGGCAATGGTATGGGTTGCAGAGAGAGCGAAGAGGATGGAGGAATGGGACACCTTACAACAGGACAAGCAAAGAAGATGGGCTGAGATGCTGAGGGAAAAACGGATTGAAACCCATGATCTGATGACAAAAGAAACCTTTCAGAAATTGCAGCCAAGGAGAGTCGCTCAACAGACGGTAGAACTGCGTCACCCGTTCGACAGCAATGCTCCCAATACAGAGACAGCTACAGGGATGCTCCACTACGCTAAGCTCTACTATGAGGACATCTCACCTCAAGGTGCCCGCAAGAAGACCCGACAACTAACCTCTCAATGACTTCAGACACATGGGAGGATACAAAAGTCAAACTCCCGGACACGGCTAGCCTAAGGATAGATTTGGACAGACCAGTTACGTTGGAAGAATTGTCCCAGACAGTGAAGTCCACGGCCAAAGGTAAATCCCCGGGCATAGACGGCTTAACAGTAGAATTTTACAACACGTTCTGGAACTCCATGGACCCTAAGCTAGTGGACGTGTACAATCAAATCCTGGTAAATGGTTGTTTGGGGAAGGGGATGATCCATGGGGTAATCAGCATGCTGTTCAAGAAAGGGGACAAGTCTCAGGTTAGAAACTGGCGTCCAATCTCACTCCTAAACGTGTCTTATATGATCTTAGCGAAATCGTTGGCGCGAAGGCTGGGGCATCACCTACCCGGATTAGTAGAGGGGGATCAAGGCGCGTTCTAGACCTTGAAAAGGCGTATGATAAGGTGGGATTGCCTTTTGTTTTCACGACGCTGAGGAAAATGGGGTTTGACACCCCTTTTTGTAAGTGGTTGGTCGCAATGTACACGCTTTCGACCTCGGCGGTGATGATCAATGGTCACTTATCACAGTCCTTCAAGTTGACAAGGTCGTTGAGGCAAGGTTGTCCCCTTGCTCCACTGCTATTCGTGTTGCAGATGGAGGTACTCTTGAACAGACTGCGCAGAAATCCAAACCTCAGAGGATTAACTTTGCACAGCGGGACACAATGCAAGGTGAAGGCTTTCGCGGACAACTTGTCGTCATCAGCGAGAACTCGAGCACCTCATTAAATGCACTGAAGGACATCCTAACTGAGTACTCCTCGCTGTCAGAGGCTTCCGTCAACTGGAACAAATCGGTGTTTTTGTTGCCTGTGCAATTTGTGTTATCAGTGCAATGGGGTATGAAGAGAATTGCAAAAGGAGAGGAAGAAAGGTTTTTGGGGGTGTTGGTCAGTCTTCAAACTGGAGCCTCCACACAAGGACTGGTATTACAACAAAGAGTTGCAGCAAGATTGCGTGTTTGGGGGCTGGTTTGACACCTGTCCATCATAGGGAGAGCGCTAGTGGCAAACGCTGCACTGTTTTCTATCATGTGGTATGTATGTACAGTGAGTGAGCTGTCTGAAAGTGTGAGGAAAGCGGTAAAAAGATTGGTGGCGCGCTTCATTTGGAAACCGAGAGCGAAGGAAGGAGAAAGGTTTATTGTTAAAGTGACATGGGAGCATCTTACCTTCCCACGCAGCGAGGGGGGGGCTTAATCTGGTAGACCCGGTTATGAAGAACCAAGCCCAACTCAGCACTTGGCTGAGTAAAGTGGCCAATGCCCCAGTGAAGGAGCACTGGATGGAGCTGGCAGAACAGATCCTAATGGACGAATGGGGTTTATGTCGCCCACAGGATGTCTGGCATTGTCTGTTTATTCCCTCCTTCCGAAGGAACCGAATAAAGTCACGTTTTTGGAAGGAGGTGTTGAAGGTTTGGAACCACCTGCCGCCGGATTTGGGCTCGCAACCAAAAACGAAAGAGGAAGTGCAGTTTCAGCTACTGTTCGAAAACCCTCAGATTGTGGACAAGGAGGGAAACTAGTTCATGGCGGATGGCTCGTCAGGCTCATTTGGTTTAGCCTGGGTTCGTAAAGGTATTGTTACGATTGGTGATCTGTGGGACCCCCTGGTAGGAGGATGGAGACAGGTAGGGGATCTGTTGGGGACCCTTAGCCCATTGAGAAACATTAAGACACACCTGAAGCTGATCTTGGAAGCCATTCCGAAGGACTGGCGGGAGCAACTTGGGCCGGAGGGCATTGATCCAGTAGGCACCTAGTACTGCGCGGAGGACAAAGATGCAGAAGATGCAGAGGTATTTTGGAGATTATTAGAAATCCTCCCCAGCGGTTTCAGGAGCGTTCATAGATGGGAATGTAAGCACTTCTCAAATGAACCGAGTGTCATTAACGAGGAGATAATCAGAACCTGGAGAAACCCCCCTCAGGCCAGAGTGGTGGGAAAGGTTGGCACCTCGGAGAACAAAAGAAAGTGGGTTTGGATTGGCCGCTCTCCGCTGAGGAAACTCTGCATCGACCCCACAACTTGGAGTTGGACAACGGACGCAACGAGTCAACCTCAACTTCCTCTGTCAAAGTATTCGGTTGCGAAAGGGTATAACTTGAGGAGGAAAGCAGGTGTGAAGAGAACCCTAGCACAAGTGGCTATCTGCAGGTGGCAGACTGTGACTTCAGAAGATCTGGCAGGAGCTGACACCCTGTTTCTGGCCCTATGGGACTCACCGACGTACCTTCCAAATGGTAAACAAGTGGCAAACCTGTGGCAAAAACCTGTGGCTATTGGAGTTGCGGCACTTGCGGTTTGCGTCGGAAGGACATCTTTATTTTTTGGGGGTTCACGGCACATACGGTTTTCAGCCAGGGCCACCTTTATTTTTTTGCGGTAGGCAATGCAAGCAGTTTTGAGTTCGGAACCACAGAGTATTGCGGCGATGGTGTGGGACTGCCATGGGACCATTTTGGGACTAGGTGAGACTGGTTCTTGTGATCAGGACCAGCATGTTGGTGCAACTATTGTAAGCGGACATGGTGATTGGAGGTGTCGTGGACTTGCGATTGATTGAGACTGTCCTTAGAGGATGTGGTGTCGTTGGAACTGCAATCGGGGTGCGTTGAGACTGTCCAGGACGTTGAGAAGATGTGAGACTTATTCTTTGGAGCACCGTCCTGGAGGGTTTTTCCACTTGAGTTCTCTCAATGGACCCGCCTCTTGCTCACTTGGGCACTTGGTGGAGGACGCGGACAGTGGCTCAGGAGAAAGGCCACAACTTGTGGAGTTGTGAGCCGTATATTTCATGTTCAACGATGATTATTTTCTTTTGATTGACATATTACTCGACTTTCTTGAGTGAGCTCATTCAAATTTCACTCAAGGTCAGTTGAATGCAGATTTCCCTTCACACCTTGTGTGAACCCACACTTTGCTTGACCCTGTTTGTTTTGAATGTTCGAAAGAAAAGGTAGAGTAAGATTGTATGAGTCATGCATGTGAATGAAAATGTCGGATTTTGGGTGGTCAGATTTTATTTTGATATGGGGTTACTGGATGTATCAAATGATGATTTATATTCTCTCATTTATTACTTTGGATTGGATGTACATTCTTATCAACTACAGTTGATTTTTTTGTTGGTGTAATTATGTGTGATTGTTATAACTTTCTTTTGACAGTGTATCTAAGGGACTAGGAAGATTTGAGTTTCACGCTTGGTTGAGACTGTCCTAGTCGACCTACGTCCGCTTCGTACTTAGGAGATCAGCGCCTTAAGGAACGAACAACGTTCGGGTCCGCTTGGCGTTAACCAAGAGTATCTATACTATAGCGAACGAGCAAATGCCCTCGACTGACCTACCACTGCAATTGCATTTAAAAGCTTTCGCACGTGGGTCAAAAATTCGATAAGGATACGCCCCTAAGGGTGGTAACAGCCCCTTAGGGAAGGGAAGCTTATGCCCCGCGAGAACCTATCTTGTCGTAGGGGACCACGGGATGTATAGCTGGCGAACCTGGCTAGAGTGGTGAAGGGACGATGCTACCACAACCGTCTCATCGGTTCGCGGAATTATTCTGCGTCGTTCCCGAGTTGTTTCTAAATTATTGTTTTTGTTAAACTCCTGCGTGACGTGGCCGGGAGGGCTCTCACCTTTGCGAAAAAGGCGGGAGCTGATGCGCTCGACAACGCGTGTCTTTGTGTAAGTGTGTGTTTGTAAGTGTGTGTTTGTGTGTGTGTGTGTGTGCATGATTGTTGGCTTGTGTGTGTGTGTGTGCGCATGATTGTTGGTGTGTGTGTGTGTGTGTGTGCATGTGTCTGTGCATGTGTGTATGTGTTTATGTGTATTTGTGTGTGTTTTGTGTCTCTATGTGTGCGTGCGTGTTGTTTTTCCTTTTTTTATTTGCTTTTATATTTTTTTTTAATAAATACATGAAGTTTAAAAAAAATATATATATATATATATATGTATTGTTGTACATCTTTGAAATGTCTATAAACCCAGGGTTGCCGGCGTTCGGGACGGGCCGAACGCCCGAACCCGAATGCCCGAACGTACGCGAACCCTTCGGAAGGCGTTCGGCCGTTCGAGCCGACCGCGGACAAAAAAAAAAAAAAAAAAAAAAAAAAAAA